AAAGAAGATAAAAAAACTTCAACTTTAAGTGATAGCATTTAGCTCTAAAAATCTATAGTTAATATATTATATTCATTTAAAGTTTAACTTATTCATGGATCTTCATAGCATATAATAATAATATCAATTTACATTTAAATTTGATCTTTGTTTGTGTCCTTCTACATTTCTTATATATGTATGTATTTGTATATGTATATATATATATATATATATATATATATTATTTTTAAGTACATTATTATTTTTAATTACATTTACTGGAAAAGAATGTTGTTTTAACACTATGGTTCTAAATGTATTGTATATTTTTGACTTGATCTCAAATAGTTTTTACCCTTGGCTATTTTAGTATTGATGATATTTTGGTAATTTAGTATTGGATAATATTTTGTTATCTCAAATATTGATGTTCTTAAATAATAATACATACAATTAATTTAATTACAAATAATATGTAATAATAATAATAACTAATATTATTATTTTTATAATCTTTATAAAGTTGATAAGTCTTTATTCAGCTATTTTATAACTCTTCCTTATTTCTGATTTGGAATAATAAGTTTTTTTTAGATTATAAATTAGCATTTGAAAATATTTTAAAGATTATTCTTAATATATCTTATAATTGTTCTATAATAAAGTTTTGTAAAAAGATCAAATTTTCAATAATAAATCTAAAAGATTATTAAATATTGTATGTGTTTTTTAAAAAAATAATCCAAACCGTTTTTATTTTTATTTTTTGTTCTATTAATGAGACTATTTTGAAGATAGATATGTAATGAATTTAACTAAATAATTAAAAATATGTGATATTGATAAAAACATACACTTTTAAATTTAGCACACAAATCAAGTTTGTGTAGTTAAACCTTAAGAAATGGCATAAATTTTTTATTTTTTGATTTTATATATATGTATGTATGTATGTATAGGTATTATTGACTTTGTAATGTTATAGGCTCCTCAAAGATTATTATTGGTGTAGATTCTTCTTACTAATTATATGAAAAAAACTTAAGTTCTATGGAGGCAAATAATATACTTACTTATTTATGTAGTTGTATTTGTACCATAATTCTTAATTCAGATGCAAATAAATATGTGTTTTTGTATTATGAAAAAATAAAAGTTGAAGAAAAGAGATTGATTGTAGTATTTCTACAAATAAGATCATTGTACAATAAGTTGTAAACAGTTCCAAAAGATATTTGTGTATTCATCTAAACCTTGAGCTCACAAATATAAGGTTGATCCGTTCAAAAAATGTTTGTTTTGTTTTTAACACATCTTAAGATTTCTTGTATTATTATTGAAGAACAAAATATGATGGTATCACATTTCTAAGCATCTGTATTGCATAGATTACATAAAAACATCCCAAGTTTTCTACATATGCCATGTTTAACAGATCCATTTTATACAGTTTTCATTTGAATCTATTTTAAAGTTTTGATTGAGATGCGCTTCATTCACTGTTCTCCATTTACATTGCAGATAAATAAATGCATGTTTGATCATCAAAATTTCAAAAATGGTTTGACTTAATGCTCACTTAGCTCAGCTGAATTGATATTTTCTTCAGGTACATGATATCTTTACTTATTGTTTTGAAAGAACAAAAATGATTGTGTACATAGGTTTTATTTGCTTTGTTTATTATATTTTTATATTTTGTTATGAAAAATGAAATCAAACCTGTAATATGTGGCATATGATTGTATCCATGTAAGGAGCTCTTCTAATCTGTTAGGATTGTCAAATCATAGACATTGTTCTCTTGACCGAATTCCATTTGGACTAAATTGGGCATGACTCAACTAAATTGTTAATTAGTATATAGACTTGTATATATGAAATCTAAAGAATCCAGAAATTAATATCTGGAGAAGGCAGAGCAGACTGCAGCTTACATTCAGAATGTATTACTTTTAAATAATAAAAAGTATACACACACATTATTAACAATAATAGAATAAAATAAAATAGAGTTGGAATTGGGATCACACTTATGTATGTTTTTGTTATTATTACTATTATTGTTAATTTCTGCCTACAAGTCATGAAAGGAAGTGTCCTGAGGATCCATTATGTAGACACTGTCTCGAGTCTGGATATGGCCATAAATATATATATATATATATATATACACACTGATTCTGAATGTTTTGGTAAAGAGAGGAGGGCAGTGTGCTGGAGCCACTGATTATGCTCATGATTAAATAACAATCAAAACAACAATGTAACTATAATCCAATCAGTTTATTTGAATGGAGGCATGATTATTTTAATGCAATCTGTAATTGCCTTCATCTGCTCCCCCCCCTTAATCAAACTATAAAATGTAAAAATGGGAGATCTTGTCACCCACCCATTTTGCTTAACTGCATCTTTGGATTGTGGGGATTGCACGAAAGGATTTATTTATTTTATTTATTTTTTGTTTTGTCGCTCTGTAAACTGAATCCAACTGCCCCCCCCCCACTTTATCAGCACTATTATTAGTACAATGTACAAACAGGGTAGTAGTAAGTAAGTCAGTTAGTCAGTCAGTAAGTCATGAGTGAGTAAGTGAGCAGTGTACTGTTGATTTATTTATTTTTATTTTATTTTATTTTTTCTGTAATATTGTGTTGTGTTTGATTTTTATGATGGTAATGCATCTGCATTTATACCCCATGAGGAAGTCTCTCTCTCTCTCTCTCTCTCACACACACACATGCACATAGTCATGTTGGTCTTTCTCTTTAGTGATTAGCTTATTCACAATTTCTTTCCTTCCCTTGCACTTACCTTGTTGGTTGATTATTAAGATGCTGTAGATGCTTAATGCTATGGAGCCAAAGCTAATCAGCTTTTACAACATCTGGCAAGCAAGTCTCTACAGGAATGCATAGATTGATGTGCATGTGGAGTGAGAAACCATGAAAGAGGGTAAGGAATGGCATACCCTTATTTATTTATTTATTTGTTTCTTTTCCCCACTCTGGACTTAGCCATGTTGTCTTGCAACCCTTTATTGGGATTATGAGAGTGAGAGGCATACATACACACATAAAGATATATATATATATATATATATATTTACTGACTTCACTTCATTCTTGCAAGATTTGGGTGGGTGAGCATAGGAAAAAGGAATGTTTGCCATCTCTGTCTATACCTATCTATGCCAGGAATCTTAACATTCCATTAACTTAACAACCCAATTCACTAAACAATGCTACTTGAGTATTTGTGTTCAAACAATTTATTTTTATGTTTTTAAAGTATGTCATCATTGTCTGAGAGCAGGGCTGTGAATTCATAGCTTTTTTTTTATTTAAATTTGAAATGCTTGTGACCATTGAGCAGGAAATATTATGTATAGGAAGAGAGAGAGAGAGAGAACCAATTATAGTTTCTAATTCTACCTTGATTATAACAAAGAATCTGTAAAAAAAACATCATTGTTGTGTTTAACTTCAACATTGGATGCCTTCACAATTTTAAATTTTGAAATGTAGAGTTCTAAAGAAACAGTTATAAAAAATAAAAAAAAGCACTATCATAATTCATGGGTAAGTACATGTTTACAAAACACAGCTTTAGTTTGATACATTATCAAATTCTTCCATTACTCATATGGGCATATACTGATTTATTATTTCACCATTCAATCTCATGGTTGACAGTTTTATGAATACAAATTTACAAATCTCTTATGCTATTGGACATAAACCCAAGTCTTTGGTTAAGAATTTTGAGATATGTGGGAGCTTTTTCTGTCACCCCATTAATTTATTTTAACACTCTCTGTAATCTTGCTTTGTATTATGTGTATTTCCCATCCACTTGACACATCTTGAAAATAAATTCCTACCAATGGCCCAAAGTACAACAACATTTCATAACATCCCATGTAGAAAAAACACACAGCTCAGGAGCAAAATTTCAGTTCTCACAGTCTCCATGTAAAAACCACATGGCAATCATAAAATCATGTATTGGCATATCCAAAACATGTGCAATAACCTGTTTGATTTTTTTTTTTTTTTAAATGTGGGTAATTTCCAAAAAATGACATGCACAATCCACATCCAAGTTTGTAAAGTGTTTCATAGAAACCATATACATGCACGGATTTACAAAAAAAGTAGCAAAAGAAAAGAAGATAAAACAATAACATGAAGAAGTCCATCAAAGTAGAGAAAAAAAATGAGTTTTTATGGCAACCAATGTCAACCCAGATTAGTCAATGAAATGTTCCTGGGCCACCGAGATTTTCCATTAAAGAATAAGACAGGGGAGTTTGATCGCAAGCACTAAATAAAGCCCCCCCTCCCCAACTCATTTGTTTTTTTTTTCCCTCCCTATAATGGCACAAATGCAAAAACCCTTGTGAAGCGAAGAGCGTGGTCATAGGAGGTGCCTGGTCTTAGGGGGGGAAGCTGTGCCCACTTATAATGACGACTAGGTCGCAAAACTATGAAAGACCTACCAACCAGGTCCACATGCATCACACATGTCAGTAAGGGAGGGAAAGAGGACCCACCCGCTCCTTCGCCCATTCTGACTCCTCGCCCGGCCCTCGATCTGGCAATATTTTAGCTTGCAACAGTCAAGGACTTTGCTGGGATTGGACAGACTGACTGCCCGCTTCAGCCAGCTGCCCGGCGCGGCTCTAGGGCAAGTGGAAGAAGCGTGGGGGAAGTGGGGAGTGGGGAGGGGGGGGGAAAAAAAAGAGTAGGTCGAAAAATGCTAAGGGGGGAGTAAGAGACTGTCAAGCTAAGCGAAGTTAATGTCGTGCTTTCTGGTTGTAGTGAGCGGCAACAATATCGACGTGGATTTCAATTTCGTAATTTTGGGCAGAGTTTGGCCAGATTAAAAAAATTGGGGCTCGGCGGGCACAGTGCGGGCAGATGGGCAGTGGCGAGGATTCCGAGTTCCCGCCCAGCGCCAGCCCCGACCCCGCCGCGCTGCTGCTGCTGCTTTTCGGCATCGTCGTCCTTGCTCGTCGTTGTCCCCTTCATCGCCCGACCCCGTCGACAATCAGATCCATTTGCTCTCTTCCCTTCGCTGGCGCTCTCCTCTCGTCGATGCAGCCAGGCAGCCAAGCTGGATCCCTCTCTCGAGTTCGCCCTTGCTTCTTCTATCGAGTTAGAGTGAGCTTAAGTCATTGTGAGGAGGGGGAGCTTGTGATCTGCCTTGCGGAGTCACCTGTGCGACATTGCACGGTGGTGGGAAATCGACCCTGGGCTGGCAGCTTGAGATGCTTTTGATTCAATTGGGGAGTTGTTTTTTTCTTTCGTTTGCTCCTCGTTAGTTCCTCGTCTTGATGAGTGTGAGGGCAATTTGGAGTTTTCTTTGCACGGGAAGCCCCGCATTGAGCGACAGGAGAGCCCCGAGGGCTATAATTGAGAGGTTTTGTTGCATGAGGCGGAGTGGTGGGGTTCAATTAGTGTAATTGAGCATAGTGCCTCGCTTTTTGTTTTATCTTCTGATCGTGGCTAGGTAAATTGGCGCTTTAGAGCCTCTGAGAGAAATAGAGGTTGAATTCTGCGTCGGAGAGTTTAGATCTGGTTGTTTAGTGGCACTGCGCGGATCTTGCGGCGGTACTTATCACCACTGTGGGGGTGAGATCTAGTCTTGCTCGCGGGTGATTAGCTGTGTGGGGGCTGTGTGCGATCCAATTTGGACTCAATCGATTAATCCTAGCTGGTAGAGTTGGAGCTATCGACGATCCTTGACGCTTTCGAGACGAGTGCTGCTGGACTGCTTTGATATCGTATTGAAGCCTAAATTTCTAGTGGAGCATTGTGCATTTGCATCTTGTTCCTGCATTTCCACAACGTGCGGATTGAGTCTTGTGGCCTGGAAGCTGGCTTCGTGCGTGAAGTGTTCACTACTGTAGAGGGTTTCGAAAAGTACCTTCCAATTGATTCTAGGCGGTGCGATTACAGCCGTATGGCGTCAGTGTTGGCCCTTACAGTTGAATGGAAGAATTGATGTTCTGCAACTAGTAGGCAGACACGAGCTCTCTGGTGTTTCGAATCTCAATAGCAGAGATTTGTGCCTTAATTCGGAGATGTGACTATGAAAGAGAACAATTGAGCGAGCGTCTTGACGTTTAGAGTTTCTACCGACATTTCCGGGAAACCAACGTTGTTCAGAATTCAGTGCTGTTGAAGGTGTTCAGAAATTTTGTGCCGATTTTGTCAGTTCTCATCAGCTAACGGAAGTTGCACATTGGAACCCATGATTGTAGTGCGTCGTTGGCAGCGGAGGGGCCCCTTGTGAGACATGTAGTGCAATTTACAGTGTAGTGCGAGAATTTATGTATGCAGCTTGGCTGTCGATAATACCGTTGGCCTTGCTGAAGAACCTCATGTGAACAGCTAGCATCTATGACTCTCCTAGCACATACAGTTTAGAAGTTGAATCGAGATCAGTGAGACGTAGAGGAGCAACATTCGCAGGCTGTGCGCAGTGTGGGGCTCGAACTCTATCTTGCAGTCATGGTGGGTTATGACTTGTCGGTACTGCCTCAGAAACCAGCTTGGTTGGAGTCTCTGTTGGCTGAAAAGTTCTTTGTGTCGTGCGCAAAGCATGGGGCGTTGAAGAAGAACGAGCGAAACGTTTTCTGCGTGGACTGCAATGCTGGTGTGTGTCAACATTGCGTCCCTGCTCACCAGAACCACTGCATCCTTCAGATTCGTCGATACGTGTATCACGACGTGATCCGTCTGCAAGACATCCAGCGTCTTCTGGACTGTGCAACGGTTCAGACTTACATCATCAACAGCGCGCGTGTGGTGTTTCTAAACCAGAGGCCGCAACCGCGTCCGTCGAAGGGGTTAGGAAACGCTTGCGGGACCTGCGACAGGAGTCTCCAAGACTCGTATGCCTACTGCTCTGTGGCATGCAAAGTGGACGCAGTTATCAGCAATGGGAAGGACCTCTCCAGCCTCTTGCCAGAGAGCGGCAACATGCCGTATTCGTTCTTCACGTGTTCCCCGACTCGGAGCTTGAAAGGTGGGAAACACGAGTTGGAGGATGAGGTACTGACGGATTCGCCATTCGATATGTCGCCGACACATACTTCGTCAGCTTCGACAGGCAGCGAAGGGGCGGGGTTCTGCGGTGTTGCCTCGACGGCTTCGACTCAATTGCTGCCCAAGAAAGTCCGGAGCGGACGTATTTCGGCGATAGCGACGTCGCCGAAGTCTGTAATATTTCCGGTGTCTGTGAAGAGAAGGAAAGGGACCCCTCACAGATCTCCATTTTGTTAGGCACGTGCTCCAAGTAGAGAGCCATGTTGCGTAATTCATCCTCCATCCCACATATTTTTTGGTATCTCGCTCAGTCGGTTACCCAGTAGTTGTTATTGGCCTCCCTTGTACGGGAGGTTTCATCGACAAAGCTGCAGGTCGTTTCTTACGACTGATCGGAACAGCAGAAGCGGCTGGTTCTCCCAGTCCGGTCGAGAGTTATTCCTACAGTTACAGAGGTTGGAAGGAGCGGTTTGATTGATTCTTGTATGTCTGCTAGCTCGACGATATACTTTAAGAGTTTGCGAAGTTTTTTGCTACACACGGCGGGCCGAGGCGATTGGAAGCCTCGACAGCCCAACTCAGGCTGATTTCTATGGACAATGATCCTAGTAGAGTTTCGGCTGTAGTTCTTGATTCTTCCGTCTGCGGTAGGCACACACTAGGTAGGGAGTCTCTGTTGGGACCGGATCGGAATGAGGAGCCGAGGGTTGGCTTTGGGACTTGGGTAGAGAAGCGTTCCAATCCGAGAAGAGAGGGCTAACTGTCCCGCGGGTTGAGACATAGTTGGTGGCCCGCAATTACAGACAATTTACAGAGATCCTCATTTACTAAGTAGTGTCAAGCAGATCTTGCTTGTTGTAGTTCTATTTATTGTGATAATCTGAATGTGCTTTCTAGCAGACACGCTAATGGGCCTTGCTTAGCTTTAACTTAAACACCATGTTTTTGCACCAGTATTTGCTCTGGATTTTCGAGAGGACCTCGTCATCGTGGAACTATGTTGAACTCACAGTCGGCATATCAGCTGAGTTAGCAAGCTGAACCCAGCAGCATATGCAGCAGCTTATTCTGAAGTCAATTCTCTCAAGTGCTTATTCACTGCATTCTCAGGTATTGAACTGAAGATACTGACGTAAGCGTTAGCATGGGTTGATTCAACATGTTGCTCGCCTGGGGGAGCATTCATCCCTGGTCTAATTTTTAACTGTCGCAAATTGATGGCGTTTTTTACTACATCTGTCTAAGTCTTTTCGGTATTTGAAGGTAGATTGTCTTTCATTTTGCATTCCACCCAAGAATGTGTTGTAGTATGTGGATCTGGTTGGATGTGAAAGCTTGGGTCTGCGGATGCTTAACTCTGGGATTGTTGCTATACATACGAGCCGAAGACTCGTTTCTTGCCCATTCTACATAGATCGTATTTGTATTCGACAGACAGCAGGTTTTCTTTTTGTGGTGGATGTACGGTACTGTTGCTCAAGGTGTTTTTAAATATTTAAGATCTTAGAGTAATGACTTCATTTTAGCTAAAGCAATGAACGGTCGCTGTTGTGGAAGTCAAAAGTCAGGCATGCTTCCTTGAATTGGAGCTTTCAAGCCTGTAGCACGTTCAGTTTTATTCACATTCCTTTCTTCGTTTGGTGCTTAGGTATTTGTTAGCGCGTGAAGTCGTTGGAACTAATCTTCAACGCTTTCTTGGATTCAGAGACCCTCGTGGTTATTCACGATGCCCCGAGTTTTGGAGATCGTCACGTTGCTGCATAGGTGTCGTCTTTCTCCTGATTTGATCGTCTCATTCTTTTTGAAGTTGGTTTTAGTCTCGTTCATGTGTCTCCACGGATGCATCGACTCCCAACACTTTAACTTGGTTCCGTTCACTGTGACTTATCAAGAATATTCCTGTTGGTTCTAAGTTCCTGTGACACAGTTCAAATCGTCAAAGGTTGCTCTCAGCGCAGAAAAATTCACTAATGTACAACCAAAATTTCATTTCATGCTGAGCTTTGTCAGAATGAAGCCACTGAAACCCCATTTTTCTAATGAACCTGGAGATGGCAACTCCATTCAGCAAAAAGTTCCTGGAACCTCTTCCAGATCGGGTAGAACGAATCCTTTCTTTTCAACCGCTAGAATTTCGTGTCATTGCTTGCAGTAAAGGAAAAAAAGCTGATGATACTGAAAGTGTTCAGCTCGTTTGTTCTCGTTGTTATCCCCTGCAAAGGTGAGGTAGTTGAAGATACGTACTCATGCATTTGTTGGAGTTGCTTGCTGGATTTCGGTTGCAGTATTGATGCATCGTTGGTACTCAACTGAGAAGTCTGCAGTGGCTCTGCACACAACTGCCTCATTTTCGACAAACTTTGAGTTGGCGCCATGCAGTGTTTTTCCTTGAGTCCAGGGTCTTTGCATGGTCACCTGGAGTTACCCGACATTTTTGACGAGGCTGATCTACCAGCAGGGCAGCTCTAATGAAATTTTCTCACTAAAAGAAACATTCGTGCCATGAGTCTTGGTAAAAGATTTCACTAAAGATTTGTTGGTTTGTCTGTTTTGTCTAAATGAATGTAACTTTTGAACTAAAGTAAATGCTGTACTGTACATCTTTGTTTCATTTTAGTAAATAGGATAAGTTTTCTCTTTACAATAACTACCCACAACATCTGATTGTGAGGTTTGAAATAGTTGTGATGTCAATAGTAAGTTAACAAATCCTACTCATGTTTTTTTTTTACTTTTTTTAAAAAGTTCAAATAAAAAGTTGTTAATATTTTTAATATACACATTCAACCATGAAGAAATAGTTGTGTTGTCAATGTCAAAAATAAAAATAAAAATAAAAAATAAAAGTCACTGAAATTTAAATGAGATTGTGGCATTAGCAATATCCCAAAAGAATCCCCAAATTCCTATTAGCCTTGACATATGTAATTCCTTCTTGACACACTCTTGTCATCGTGCTGCCGTTTGCAATGTAACAATCACTTGTCTTCTTGCCAACTTCTATGTTAAAGGTCAAGTTAAGAGATCAAAGCAGACCAGAATATAAATATTTTCTAATCTTCTGTTTTCCGTGTGATACACCCTTCAATGCTCAACATAATTAGTGTCCACATAAAGCACTCACCACATTCACCAATACAAGACGAGGTCCATGCATATTCAATAGGAGGCAAGTAACTTATGAAATAATTTTGTAGAGATTGCAGAAGCAATGTTCAATAGTAACAGTTACTCACGCCTCCAAGCAAGTTAACCATGCACCTCGGCAGTAAATTCTGATCGTATCAGAAAACTGAATGTTCCAGAGTCTCATATTCCTGGTTCCTTCTGAAGTTTAGCTACTATGCTCTGCTCTATCTTACTTCAAAGCACATCTAGAACTATTTCAAAGGAGGTTTCTCTTGGTATTTACAGCACTCAGCAGAAAACTAGGAACATACAAAGCGCCAATTCGTAAGCAACCTAGGATTTGAAACTTACCACGGTTATGATTTCAGCTTGATGATTCAGCAGGAAACACACCAGTAGTGGACTTAGTTGTGAAGGACAAGAATGTGTTTGAGATCAGAAGCACTTCCGGTGGACAATAGGAGGACCAGTTTCATCATACTCAGCCTTGGTGATGTGCTGATTCTGAGGAAAGACTACTTTCGCAAGAATCGCTCCACCCATCCAAGCAGAATTGATCAATGTGTTTTCGGGCATGTACTCTGGAGGCTGTCAAACAAACATGTCACGTTAGGAACGATGTTGCAAAATATTAAATTTATGCCCGTGCGAAAAGCTGCATATAAGCAAGATCAGTACAGCAACCTTGATCAGTGATGGTCGCACTGAAGGGTTCGCAAGTAGAATGGCCTCTTTATGAAGTCGCGCATCCAAACCTGTAAATTCGACAGAGAAAGTCTGAGCTTTAATGAGATCTAAAATTAATAAACAAATACGTAATTCAATCAATAACTCGAACAGTCGCTACAATTCCTACAATCTCTCGCCATTTACACCTCACTACCTTCGAGGACAATTACTGAGACATTCCTAAGTCACTTGAAGATCAAGATCCCTGCACTAACTAACGTATGAGGGAAAATCAGCGATCACCAATCCACAAAGGATATCATTTAAATCAGAAGTGCATCATTAACAATGAGCTCCTGAAGAGGATCTATCATTAAGTAGGACATACCCGCCATCATAGAAGTGCCTCCACACAATACGATGTTTTCAATAAGCTGCCGTTGATTCTCAGAAGGAGAACACATTGACACACTACGAAGCAATTGTTCAGCCAGGCCGTCTTCTTCTACTCCCAAGATTGAAGGTCGTAACAGAGCTTCACCAACAGTATACACCTCTCTTCCAATAGAAATAACCTACACCAAACGAGAGTCATGTCATAAAAAACAACATTTCAGAATAGATATTTCAGCACACCTTCAAGCAGAGTAGCCTTCTCAACATCTACAATCTCCCTCCACTTGGTCGATAAGGCTATTTGCTCAGTAAACCTTTCAAAAATGGTTTGCTCTGAATCAATCGACACATGAAACCAATAAAGCAATGGTGTATACCTGCCCATCAGGAAGTGTGTGCTCTATACTAGGACAGTCTTCAGCAGTTGCAGCATAACCTGAAGAGTCTTTGGAAACCGTAGCATATTTTTCCTTAAGCATCTCCACAACAGCAAGATCCAATTTCGCATCTGGTTGTGACTGTGCAAGCTCTTTTGCAAGAAGATCAGTGAGATCCTGACCCGCAATTTCAAAACGCTTGACTGCATTGTGCTGGACGGCGCCTTCCCATACAGGAGCAATATCTGCAAAAGTTCACAGGCAAAGAAAGGAGGGCTTTGCCCAACATGGATCAGGGCTGCTGTCAGTAGATTTGCGTGACACCCTCAGACCATGTATTCTGATCACACAAGAGAAACCAGCCATTTGATCTCAGCTAAACCATACTTGTTTAGAAAATGCGTTGCAGCGTACACCTAACGGACGGCACAAATTGAAGAGCAGAATAATAAATATAACAGATACTTTCTTATTAAGAGTGTTCTACTTATTACCGTAGTGATCCCTTATGAAGTTCGCCAACCAGTAAACTCTTCTTATTCCGGCGAAATACATTAACAGTCAGCATACAAGGTATTGTGTGTGAAAGATTTCGTCACTGGATCTACGTTGCACATTTCGTTAAAGTCCCTTCTAAAGCTTCCCTCGAACACAGATTCAGTAACAATAAACAGATTCAAGCCAAACAGAGAATGTACCTATCTTCCCATGCCCAGCATCAATAGCGACACCGGTGATGCGTCCTACTGCATAAAGAGAAAGCACTGCCTGCTCCACTGCATAGAGGCCATTCACGTTGAAAGTCTCGAACATTGTCTGAACCATTCTCTCTCGTGATACCTGAAATTAAAGATGAACGTGGAATCTTCAGCAACATTCACAATTCGCAACATAGCAAGCCAAGAAAGGTAGTACATCTGAAGAGAACATCGTCAAGAAACCGATAAGTACCAGTAACAATGCATTAATATCTAATTGCACTAACAATCATAACTCAATTAATCACACCACTAAAGTAATAATAATAATAATAATAAAATTGTAACATATTCTTTACTGTATCCACATAGGACTTGTGCCGATCCAAAAACCTTGAAGCGTTGAGTACATCCAGATCACAAAACGGATTTACGAAAAATGAAAACTTCCTACATGCCTGCCCGAAACACAAATAAAACTCAGTCATGTAGTATTATCCACACATACAGGATGAGGGAGATAAAATAATCATCAAGTAAAAGAGTGATTAGCAAGAACCTTAGATGTCAACAAAGGTTCGGCAACAAGAAGCTGGCCTTCGTTGCCAGGTTCCCAGCCGAGACCGGTGTAAAAAACATAGCGCCATAGATCTTCCATTGCGTCCCAGTCTTTAATCATTCCTCGTTTGATAGGATGTGTAATGTCCCCAATTACCCCACTATTACCATTACCCCCTTCCTCCTCCACCCTCGACATTGCTGTTGGAAGGATCTGAGTGACAATAGACGCGTAAGTTTTACAAAGTGAAAGACCATCACATACAACAGAACTGCAATTCTCCACTGCCACTTTGAGCGGACTCGTCAAGCCAGAGAAAATTCCTGACTCACAAGCCCGAGCTCAGTGTGAATATATACACTACGCCTGGAACATTGCCTAGAATAATACTGAGCCATAGATATGCACTTCTGGAATGAGTCATATCTATCCTTCACACGCTACATCGCAAGCGGGAATGCAGAACCCTATCCAATGACCACACGGGGAAAAAATTCAAGAATGCAACTGCATACTGTAAGAATGGCAAAAACAACTAAACCAACCCTCTCATATCAGAACCCTATGCCAAGCTTCGGTTTCTAACACCAAAGAAATTACAACAGGTTGAGTCGCAGGAGCAAAACATCCACAAACAAACCAATCCCACGGCAAGGGATGCAAATGCGTACTATAGACGGGTCCTGGTCGGGGCTAGCGAAGCCCGCCTTCAAGTACATCGACCCTGAGTCCAGCACAGCTGGCTCCATAGCTGCAAAACCTGCTCGACGCCCTTTCCCTTCCTCCTTCGAAACTCTAAATCAAAGGTCAAGGAAGCTTAGCGATATCGCCAGTCCTCGTCGTGCACACCTCCAAATCTCTCCTTAATTGATCCTTCAGATGGCGTCGGACTCCCGATGAGAAGCATCGAGCTCCCTCTTCTTCCTTCTGCAACGCTGCAAGCAAGCTTCATTACACTCGCGGCTCTCCTCCCGCCCCCGCCCCCGCTCTTCCCTTCGTCCCTTTCTGCGGTGGGCGCGACCACGTCCAACTCGGATCAATTTCGAGGTGGACATCACAATCGATTTGTGGATGGAACGCATCGTGCAGTTCATTCATTCATCTTTCACTGTTTATCACTTAATCACAAGGGTGCATGCGAGCACTTTGTAATCAGAGCTTCGGTGAACTGTGGACGACTACCGTTTCTCTGCTGTTGCTATGTAGCTCGTTTGTTCGAATGTCTGTCGAGGGATTATGTTTCAAGTGTACTATCCTTCAAAGGAATTAGGGCGCATCACTGTTTCTTTGGAGCAGGTGAAGAATATTTCGAAAGACTGTGTTTAGTTGGAGATTTCTATTTTTTGCTGTGAGGTACTGTTATGGGTTCTGCTTAGAGTCCATGCCCAGGCTGAGGCTTCTGATGGGCATCTTAGATTAAGTGATTCGAGTAGGAGCCTGATATATGCTTCTCGTAATATGTATGTAGTGGTTCTTTAAATAGCATCACCATGTATTAACGCCGATAACACAACTATGCGTGACTATACCCTGTATTCATAAAGTCGCTCCAAATTTGAAAGAGTTTGGTGTGAATCAATTAAAATTTATTGAGTTTTCTCTTGGTAACGTTTGGTTGGCACTACTATATATTCAGATGTTGTATCGAGTAGTGCCATGTTACAACCGAATTTTCATTTTCTTCTTTGTGGATGCTTCTGTAATAGAATCCGAGACTGAAATTACCTTGAAATAGATAGTTTGAACTCACTACTTTGCTACTTCGGGATGGAGATACTCTTGTATCTCCAGCAATACACGCTTGTTTTCATATTTGTCCAACTTGATTCCTCGACCCATGCCGATTACAGGAAGCTTGTTGAATCACTCCATCTAAACAGCCAAGGAAGCAACGATTTCCATCCGATGAAATTTTGTTCAATGCGATGGCATTGGTTCCACGATGTGTTCATTTTCCCATCACAACATAACAAACCACTCGGATAGGTTAATGTTGCAATGCACAATATAGCCCGCAAATCTCATCAGAAGGTATGTTTACCTGCATGTCTTGACAGCTGTTGCCCCACAAGTAGGGATGCAGATAAACTGGCAACCTTTGCAATGCGCAGTTTAAATGGAGGTGAATGCAATCATGCTTATAGAGAGCATGGTTGTCTACAAAAGCTGGTGGGAAAGGACGTGTTGATTTCTTTCGGTGTTAGCATTAATCATGAAGATAATTCGAATTTCCTGTTTGACTCTTCGAAACGTTATTCAACTGCCTAAATAATTTGGAAAGGCTTAGTCGACTGAGTACGTGTTCTGTCTATTTTTGGTTTCTTAAACCTGAATCGCACACCGCTAACTGCTTTTACGGAGTTGTTTGTCTTGTTTCCGATCAGTGAAGGGAATACCTGATGTGTATCATTTTTATTTCATCAAGCAGTCGATCAATGTCCCTATGTTCTTTGCTACCAAGCATCACCAGTTTTGAAATGGTCTGAGAGCCTAATATTTTCATACGTAGCTGTATTGGTTGGTGTGTGGCACAAGACATAGAGATTAAGAATGAGATGGGATTTGAGTGTGCAGGGAATGGTTTACTTAATTTCAAGGCCAAGAAAACTTGACGAGGAGATCGACAAATTTAGACCAAAGCCTGGAGTGCGAGTATCCAGATCTATGTGATCGCGACAGGCATTAGTCATGTCAATCGCGATCTCTCCAAGTCCTCCAAACAATCGGCCACGCTAGCTGAAGCAAGATTTGGCAAATGCAGTCGATCCCACTACATCGTTGGTCTGTAGCATCGTCATAATTTGGAGTATTGATAAAGAATTGATGATTAATTCAGGATTACAATTCTTGATGTCCATATCCTGTTACCTTGATTAGTGACGATGTGTGACATGTAACTGTCCAGTAGCAGGTAAGTTTGGTCCCCCATCATGTCACTTACCGACGACGACTATGACAACAACAAGAAAACCTTCTCACGAAGGCTAGATCAATTTCTGGTAACAAACTTTTGTTTCAGAATTCATTCAATTCACAGACGTTTTCTATTCTGAAAGGGCTGAGGGTGACTGCAAGAACTTCAATGGTCCAACATCTAATGTATCTGTGTTTATGAGGGAGTAGTCGGTTTATGATGGAAACTAGGTAGTCCGCGACGAAATTTGTTTCTTTCGCAGTTCTATGCAATGAATGCAAGAAATGTAGGTTGATTTATCCTAGGAACAGTGTAACGCGATGAATAATTCAAGGATTCAGCGTCCATGGGTTTGCGAGGAGACATAGACGTGGAGGAAGCATGCTCCATGCGGAGATCCTTCTGTCTCAGAGAGTGTACCTTGAATACTGTGGACTGAAGGTGATTCCGAAACCTCTTGCAAGATTAACTCGAAAAATTATAGTAAAAAAGCGACTCTCCTCTTTCGTTGATGTATAAGTTTGAGTTGTTAGGTTTTATTGCTCCTCAGTTTACTGACAGAAAACAGTAAATAGCTAGTATTAGCATGCTACAGTTGTTCAAGTAGCTCCGAACCGATTTCGTTCTGATGAGTTTATTTTACCATTAGTTGAGAAGAATGGGAGGTGGCACATTGTTTATAAAGGAAAATTGCGTGAGATCATTTTATTTGAGGATCTCGGGGCTGCATCAGTTATGCTTTCTTGGGATGAGTTTGCGAAGAGACGGTGTTTGTGTGTTCTGCTCTTGATGATCACCATATTGGGCATTTTGTGCCCCCAGGGTTACCTAGACACTGTAGCTGCTGTGCACATACCGGGAATGTGGTGGCTGTGTAGTATCCTTATTCAGTTGAGTTGTTTTTTCCAGGTATTACAGGACATCGTGTGACGGAACTCTCGGCTCCATGAATGATGTTCAAGGGTATGTGGAAAAATTCAGTTATGAGGGTCATTTATCTACTCTATGAACTTTCTTTTCTAAGGAGTGAGCGATTGGTTTGTGTGTGCAGGTTCTTGCGTAAGATCGAGAGACACAAAAGGTAGGGGGCTAATCTTTCATAGTACTCTTTCTTTGCGCAGAAAACGTAGACTTAACTAAGAGAAAAACTTTCCACAAAGTGTGAGAGAAATCTGGAAATAATGAAGCATATTGCTGAAACCCAATCCCTCAAACCCACTTGCGGTGTTCCCGTTGTCGTCCTTCAATATACGCGCAACGTTTTTGGCAGCTGTGGATCCTGATAGGAAAGTGACTTTTAAGTGAATGTAGATGATACTTTTGTAACAATTCTTTTGTCAAGATTTCAATCTGTAATACTTACGATCAATTCCGAGGAAGGAAAAAAATTCCTGCAAAACTTGAGCCAAAACTGCAATTCTAGTCATGTCAATCTACTTACCCAAAGTCGGATGGCTTTCAATAGAGCAATCTCATGAGTATGGTTACGTACTCTCGGTCTAGGCATAGTGCAGCCGGAAAATCCCTCTTTTTTGCTTTTCTCATCCTGTTCGGTTCATAAGACAATGGAACCCCTTTAAGTTTTTCAGCCAGAGTATCTTTTCGACAGTGAAATTTTAATGTAAAATTGCGGTATTGATTCTTTCATCACAAAGTCAGCCTGGACTGCATGTCAGGTTGACAAGACAGGTGGATTAACCTTTATGAAAAAACCAACAAAGAATCTCGGTGTCGAGGATTCATGTGAGATGGAAGATGGTTCAAGTCAAAAACTATTTGAGCCAGCCGACCATCTGAGAAATACGGCCACTTGGACTTGATCATTACATTTTACTAGATACAGAAGGAAGCAGAGCTTGACAGTAAACCTGCATAATGCCAGCTCAACTCGAAAGGCCTGCAGAACTTGTGGCAGAGGAGGACGATTGCAACCTGCACAGTGAAGGGGAAAAGTGACAAATGGCACTTCGATTTCTTTGTGTAGAGGTATGGAATTGTGCCGCAATTTTAACACAGCTTTTAAAACAACGCATTGAGATTTTCAACATTGCATGATTCCCGAGAGAAAAAAGAGAACCATTTGATGTTAACACGCTATGAGTGCCTTAGCACCAGCCTGATTTGGATCAAGCTGTGTCCACACAAGAATCTCATCCTCGCAGACAGTCTATGAGTTGAATACCAATCTCAAAGATGGTGATGTTTCTAGGGTCCTTGTTCCTGAGCGTTCATACTCCAAAAGTGATGCTTAACATGCTTGGTACTTGTGTGGTGTGCAGTTTCCAGCTTGCAGTTGGGACTGCGAGCTTATCACACCAGTCTGGCACCCTGAGCATCTGCAGATTCCAGGTCTGGAGCAACGCTTAATGTGTTCACAAGCAGGAGTCCTCAATCTGTAATCCCATAGATTGTGCACAACCAAGTGTACTAACATCAAGTTTTCACTTGCTTCAGTTGTCAGCTGCTACTTGCTATCCATTTTTTAAGTTCAAATTTTAAAAAGAACTGTCTATTCCTGTACTGCCTACAGTAACTCACCTGGCAGGTTGTGCTTATTCCCCAGATCTTCCACCCATCCCTTAAATAAATTGATTAAAAATTATGTTTATTTTGTATAATATTTTATTATAAGGTGTTGTTTTTTTCAAGAAAGCAAAGAACATTCCTTCTTCTTTGTTACAATTAGAGAGGGCATAGTTTATAGACATAAATAAAATAAAATAACATAATAACAAAATCCACATCTTTAATTTATGTTACTAATTGTACATAATTTCAATTGACCATGTAATTAAAACTAGTGACTTTGGAACTGTCTTAAACTATATTGACTTATAAACATCTGGGTAGATAGATAGTAGCAACACTGTAATGCCTCCACATGAAGTTTCAGTATGGTTTTGCAGGATCTCACAGAGAAGAGGAAAATGAGCTGTTAGAAAGCTTTCACAGGTTGAATGCTCAACAAATACACAACAGACAGACAGACAGACCCTTTCCTGGCAGACACATGGAAGACATTTTTCAGCATTGGAAAGCATTACAGGGTGCAGTATTGCATTGTTTGGATGCAGCTTATGTAGGTTGATCTGCATTGTGAAGTTATGGCAGGTCTCTGTAAGCCACCAACCACAGCAAGAGAGAGGTATGGATAGTATGTCAATGGTGGTGACCCAGAGGGATACCACCCCCACAGACTCCCATATTGCTTGGGTTTAGGAGCACCAACAATAATATGGCATCTGTGGGGTGAAAAAAGTAAGTGTTAGTTGGATGGGAAACTAACAATAAGATTTTCTAACATACTTGTAGAATCTGTATTTTTATTTTTATTTTTTGTTTCTTATTTTCAAATTACAGGAAAATAATTGTTAATTTCTTGATGATACAAATCAATTACAAATCTAATCAAATCATAAAAGCAAATTGTTACAAAAAGTTATAAATATGAAGGAAAAGAAATGTGTGGGTTCTTCACAGAATTTAAAAATTTGTAACATTATACACTCTTGATTACTATCTGTTGAATTACTTCTTCAATAGATGATTTTATAAGAAGTTTTCAAAATTACACAACAGAAGAAATCTATAGTTATCAAAAGTGGAATGAGGGTAGATACATATTTAAAGATTTTAATTTACTTACAGAACATTTATCTACAAAACTTATGTAATTCAATGATAACTTAAATTTTACAAATAAATGAGATTTTACCAATAATAATACTTATAATAAAATGGACATAATTTATGGAATGAAATCTTTTTTTTCAAAAGGAGTTGGAATATACATACATATCAACTAATTGTTTATTTTTATAAATAATATATAAAAATTTATAAATTTTAGTTATATTTAATTTAATTATGTATTATGCATAAAATTATATAATTATAATATATTTCACAATATTATTGTTATAAATAATGTATACAAAGTTCAGCTGCATGTGTAAACACAAACATACGTGAGAGAAGTCAGATTGTTTGTTATATTTTATATTTTTGAAGTATGTAACAGTGTTTTTTAGTTATGCATGAAAAAAAGATATTTAGTATACTGAAAGGTAACCACATGTGAAATTCTACATGGATGATCAGAGATGGTTCAAAGGGAAGTCTCCCTAAGCCTTCAAACTTATCAAAGGAGGATGAGGAGAATAAAGACATGGTGATGAAATTAATGAAATTGTATAAACAAACAAATAAACAAACAAAGAATTAAACAAGACTGTGTGAGTGTGTGCACCAGCTAGTCATCTGTCTTACTGTCTTTACTTTGAATGACTGACAAAGAGACCGTCCTTTGCACACTGATTGAGAGGAAAAATGAAAAAGAAAAAGAACAATGAAAAAAGGTAAAGAAACAAACAAGCTTTTCAAAAGATGAAATAGATAAAATAGGATGTTGAGAATGTTTAGAAAGACACAAGAGTAATAGTAAGTAATACACACAAGAGTAGTAGTAAGTCATACATACAAGAGTAGTAGTAGGTCATACATACAAGAAGGTTTCTAAGGAGAGAGAGCTTCACACATAAAAATCTATTGATCTGGTTGTGCCTCCTTTACAAGAAGAGAAAAGGGAGAGGATAAACAATACTTCTCTACTAGACTCTAAATATTGTAGCTATGGTATTTACTATAGTCTATAGTAAATATTATGGAAAGTGCCAACTACATTTAATGATTTCAACACTCCTCCTCGTTCATCATAATATTTACATAATATAAAATTTGTATAGAATTATGATCTATACTTTTTTGTGATCTTGCAAGATCAACAATTGTTGCCTCATTAAAACCTTATCTAGGAAAACCTTATTGTATTTAAGAATAAAACCATAGATGAAGGAAAAAGAATACAACATCATTTTTTTTTAATTATTTAAAGAACTCATTAACTTTCTTATTCAAGAAAAGCAAGTCGCCACATATCAATGCCATAAGTAAGTCGACAATAGTTGCACAATGAGAGAGCTTTGGTGAAGAAATCAACAAGGTTATTTGTAGATTCAATTTTCTTAATTACAAGTGCTTGATCAGTAATCAAATCATGGATATAACTAAAATACTTTGGATCAATATACTTTGTCATGTTGCCTTTAATAAAACCAACTTGCATCTGTACAATATAAGTACTATTATCTTCATGCAAGATAGTTGGAGAATCATCATATGAAAATCCACAAGTTGTTTGAATGAATTTATCAATTGATCGCAACAAAATACATTCTCGAGATGCTTCATGTAAGGCAATAATTTTTGTATGGTTGGATGAAGTTGCAGTTATTATTTGTTTCACTAATTTTCATGATATTACAGCTCTATGTCTTAAAAATACATATTCTATTTGAGATTTAGTTATTACACTATCAGATTTATATCCTACATCACAATATCCAACCAATTTTGGATCTGCAGATTGTCTATAGTATAATCTCAAGTCTTTAGTACCTTTTAAATAATATAATAAATATTTGATGACATTCCAATATCGTAGTGTTGGACGTGCACTATGTCTTGCAAGAACACTAACTACAAATGTAATATCTGATCTTGTAGATGTAGTTAAATACATAAGTGCTCCAACCACTGCGAGGTATGGATATTGATCTCTCAATATTTCCTCCTCCTCCTCACATGGACGATATAAATCATGACTATTACAACCATGTGTCACGGCCATAATCATGTAAGCTAATAATTACATATAGAAATAGGTAGAAGTAAGTAAAAGTAGATAAAAGTAAGTTAATTCTATAATATTTAATATAGAAGCTTCCTAGAAACTTCCTAGATGCTGCTTTGACTTCATAGGTGTCTTTAATTGACTTTTTGGATTAGAAACGTGGTCAACAAGTTGGTCATGTGCCACACATGTTGTTAGCTTGAAGATCAACCTAACTATGTGGCCCACACGTAGAAAAACTTGCCTTGTAAGTCAAGGCATGTGTCCTACAAAGTCAACACATATTGAAGGTCCTATAGAACATCGCCACGTAGCTCCTAGTTAGATAGTATATATAGAGACAAGAGTGAAGGCTTCTTCACTCTTGTCAACTCCTTTCTTGCTTCTAGTCTAGTTTCAAGGGTCTCTAGTTTTCTTGTCTTTTGGCAATAGCCATTCTAGTTTCTCTTTTCAATATACATACTTATTATTCATATTTTGTTACTTTTCTTTGAGTGAAGGCTTACTTGTCTGAACTCTTTTTTCATTGAGTTCTTGTCCTTGACAGATTGACAAGAGTACACTTACAATATCAGAGCTTTATTTTTCTTGAGTAAGAGTGGATTACCCCTTTCTCTTGACAAGGCATAAGCGTATTAGAAGTTTGCGGATTACCCACTTCTAAACTGATATTGTTCTTAGTATCTTCTTTGTTATCAAGTATTTTTTTTCTTTTGTCTTGAGCATTATCAAACAAATTTTTCTTCTTAGTGTCATTATGGCAGAGCTTGTTGAAATGAAGAGTGTAATGGCACAAATGCAAGAGCAAATGAGGGAGTTAATGCTTGCGATGCATCAACTCAATTCACCAACACAGGAAAGAACAAGAATAGCAGAAAGTGGGGATATAGAGATGATCGGAGCTGCTTCAACATCTACAATAAATCACGTTCCTTCTCCAATTGTACAACATCCTATAAACACTAGAGAACCAAGAATTACCTTATCTGAGAAATTTGATGGTACGAAATCAAAGTTTCGAGGGTTCATCAATCAAGTACAATTGGCAATTGAACTTCAACCGCAAAGCTATCCAACTCCAGGATCACAAGTCAGGTTTATTGGCACTCTACTTTCTGGTTCTGCATTATCGTGGTTTTCGTCTTTTCTTGAACAACGAAATCCAATATTGGACAATTTGGAAGCTTTTTTGGCAGAGTTTCGATCTATGTATGGTGAACACGATGCAACTCGTGTTGCAACAAATAAGATCCGAATTCTGCGACAAAAAAATCGCTCAGTAACAGTGTATGCTTCACAATTTTGACAACTTGCAATTGACATCAAGTGGGATGATGCTGCACTCATCAGTCAATTTCTTTATGGATTGCAATACGAAGTAAAGAAATTGATGCTCAACTTACTTGATCCTCAAACTTTGAGTCAAGCAATCGATTTTACGGTAAAATATGATAATCGACTTTTCAAATTTCGATCTGAGAATCATTCACGGAAACCTCAACGTTATTACTCAATGACAACATCAACATCTTTGCCAAACGTACATTCGGAAGTAGAAGACATGCAAATTGACGCGGTACGTTTTAAACCCCTAACTGAGCAAGAAAAGATTCGTCGTCATCAAGAAGGATTATGTTTATATTGCGCAGAACCTAAGCACACTGCTCAACATTGTTCAAAGAAACAACGTAACTATAAAATGAGGGGTACGACGGTCAAAGAAGACAACATGTCGGAAAACGGATTCGTCCAGCTACAATAAGGACCGTGCAGCTGGAACCTTGTACAATTCCTAATGAAGGTCCTATCCTCTCCTCAAAACCCTCTCCTTGTTTTATAATAGACTTATATTTAGGACCTAAGAATTACAAAGCCTCTGCTTTATTAGATTCGGGAGCCTCAGCATGTTTTTTAGATGAACAATTTGTTAAAAGTCGTAAAATACCCTTTGTACAGAAACCTAAACCAGTACATATAGAAGTCATAGATGGTCGTCCCTTGTCTTCTGGAGATGTCACTCATGAAACTCATCCTATAAAAGTAACAATAGACGGTCATGATAGCTACATAGCTTTTAACATAATTAAATTCCCGTCCAATCCAGTTATTTTAGGTTTATCCTGGCTAGAAAAATATAACCCTTGAATAGATTGGAATTCACGTAAACTTGACTTTTCCCAGAGCATTATTAATAGTTCTACCAACCAAGTAAAAAATTATAAGTCTAGTATAGTAAAACCCATACTGATAGGTGCAAAAGCATTTATACACGCAGCAAAAGAAGGATCAACTTTTGCTATTTATGCTGCACCTATTTCTGAAAACGTAAAGACTTCAAGTGGCATTCCAAGTCAATATCAGGAGTATTAAGACGTTTTTGAGAAAAAGAATGCAGATATTCTTCCTAAGCATCGCCCATATGATTGTTCAATCGACCTCAAGGAAGGAACTCAGCCACCATTTGGACCAATTTACAGTTTATCGCAAGATGAGATGGCTGAACTCAAGACATATATTCACGAGAATTTAGCGAAGAATTTTATACGCCATTCAAAATCTCCAGCAGGAGCTCTAATTCTATTCGTAAAGAAAAAAGATGGATCTTTACGAATGTGTGTTGATTATCGAGGACTCAACAAGATCACAATTAAGAACAGGTATCCATTACCTTTGATATCAGGACTCCTTGACCAGTTGAATCAAGCTAAGATCTATACAAAAATAGATCTAAGAGGAGCATATAATCTAGTACGGATCAAAGAAGGAGATGAATGAAAGACTGCGTTTCGAACCAGGTATGGCATTTCGAATATAATGTCATGCCCTTTGGACTCACGAATGCATCAGCTGCTTTTCAACATCTCATAAATGATGTATTTCGTGAATTCTTAGACAATTTTGTCATCTGCTATCTAAACGATATCCTGAT